GCCCAAAATCCATCCTAAAATCCAGCCCAAACCCAGCCCAAAACTGGGTCCAGCCCAAATTCAAACTGAGCCTGAGCCCTAAACCCATCCCAAACTGAACTCAAACCCAAACCCATCCCAAATCTGATCCCAAACTAAACCCAAACTAATCCCAAAACCCATCCCAAACTGGGCCTGACCCAAACTCAAACCCACCCCAAAACCCATCCCAAAACTGATCCCAAACTGAGCCCAAACCTGACCCAAACCCATCCCAAAATTCAACCAAGAACTGATCCCAAACTGAGCCCAAACCTGACCCAAACCCATCCCAAAATTCAACCAAGAACTGATCCCAAACTGATCCAGACCCAAACCCGATCCCCAGTCCCACCCCAAAGTGAACCCAAACCCATCCCAAAACCGATCCCAAAACCCACCCCAAACCCATCCCAAATCTGAGCCTGACCCAAACCAAAACTGATCCCAAATCTGATCCCAAACCCATCCCAAACTGACCCCAAACCCATCCCAAATTGAGCCTGACCCAAACCCAAACCCATCCCAAAACCCATTCCAGACCAAGCCTGACCCAAACCCAAACCCAAACCCATCCCAAACTGACCCCAAACTGATCCCAAATCCCAAACCCGAACCCACCCAAAAACTGATCCCAAACTGACCCCAAACTGATCCCAAATCCCAAACCCGAACCCACCCAAAAACTGATCCCAAACTGACCCCAAACTGATCCCAAATCCCAAACCCGAACCCACCCAAAAACTGATCCCAAACTGACCCCAAACCCATCCCAAACTGAGCCTGACCCAAACCCACCCAAAAACCCATCCCAAAACTGATCCCAAATCCCAAACCCATCCCAAAACCCATCCCAAAACTGATCCCAAACTGAACCCAAACCCATCCCAAGCTGAGCCTAACCCAAACCCACCCAAACCCAAACCCAAACCCACCCCAAATCTGATCCCAAATCTGATCCCAAACTGAACCCAAACTGATCCTAACCCAAACCCAAACCCACACAAAAACCGATCCCAAATGTGATCCCGATCCCCAATTCCCGTTCCCATTCCCCAATTCCCGATCCCAATCCCAGATCCCCGTTCCCAATCCCCGTTCCCATTCCCCAATTCCCGATCCCAATTCCCAATCCCCGTTCCCATTCCCCAATTCCCAATCCCCAATTCCCGATCCCAATCCCAGATCCCTGTTCCCATTCTCCAATTCCCGTTCCCAATCCCCGATCCCAATCCCCAATTCCCGATCCCAATCCCCAATTCCCATTCCCAATCCCCGTTCCCATTCCCCAATCCCCGATCCCAATCCCTGATCCCCAATTCCCAATCCAAATCCCCAATTCCCGATCCCAATCCCCAATTCCCATTCCCAATCCCTGTTCCCATTCCCCAATTCCCAATCCCAATCCCTGATCCCCAATTCCCAATCCAAATCCCCAATCCCCGTTCCCATTCCCCAATCCCCGATCCCAATTCCCGATCCCAATTCCCGATCCCCAGTCCCCGATCCCTGTTCCCGTTCCGGGGTTACCTGGCGCGGCGCGGGGGCGGCTCCGGCCGCGGGGGCGGCTCCGGGGGGCTCGCGGCTCCGGGGGGGTCCCGGCGCAGCAGGAACGGCCGGAGGCTGCCCCGGACCGGAGACCCCCGGGAAAGGTTGAAGGGCCAGGGGGGCTCCGGCTCCTCCCGCAGGACTGGGGAGGGGGGCGTGGTCAGAGCGGATGGACACGCCCACTGAGCACAGGCCACGCCCACTGGAGCCACACCCACTGGAACCACACCCACAGAACGCAGAGGCCACACCCACTGAGTACAGACAGGCCACGCCCACAGAGCAAAGGCCACACCCACTGAGTACAGACAGGCCACGCCCACTGGAGCCACACCCACTGAGCCTACCAAGAGCCACACCCACTGACTACACCCAGTTGAGCCACACCCACTTAGCACGGCCAGACAGGCCACACCCACTGACCACACCCAAAGAAACCACACCCACTCAAGCCACACCCACTGACCGCACCCATGGGTGTGTCCATGGAAGCCACACCCCCTGCTCCACCCCGGCCCCGCCCCCTCCCCGGCCCCGCCCCCCGCTCACAGTCGCGCTCGGTCAGCGAGTACGGTTTGATCGGCTCCTCCGGCCGCGGCCGCGGGAACGGGCGCCGGGCGGGGGCTGCGGCACGGAAAGATCCGGAATTCACCCGGGAAAACGCCCAAATCCACCCCGAAATCCACCCCGAAATCCACCCCAGGGTTCCCCAAATCCCACCCCGGGAGCCCCTGGAACGTTCCAGAAGGATTCCTTGGAATTCCAGCCCGGAACTCACCGCTTCTGGTGGAGAAAAACCCCAGGATTCCCCAAAACACACCCCAAAATCCACTCAGGATTCCCAAAATCCACCCAGAATTCCCCAAAATCCACCCAGGATTCCCCAAAATCCACCCAGGATTCCCCAAAATCCACTCAGGATTCCCAAAATCCACCCAGGATTCCCCAAAATCCCACCCAGGATTCCCCAAAATCCACCAAGGTTTCCCAAAATCCACCCAGGGTTCCCAAAATCCCACCCAGGATTCCCCAAAATCCGCCCAGGATTCCCAAAATTCACCCCAAAATCCACCCAGGGTTCCCAAAATCCACCCAGGATTCCCCAAAATCCACCCAGGATTCCCAAAATCCACTCAGGATTCCCAAAATCCATCCAGGATTCCCCAAAATCCGCCCAGGGTTCCCCAAATCGCACCCCGGGAGCCCCTGGAACGTTCCAGAAGGATTCCCTGGAATTCCAGCCCGGAACTCACCGCTTCTGGTGGAGAAGAACCCCTCAAAGATGACGAAATTGTTCACCTGGAGAGGGGGGAGCAAGAAGGAACCTCATGTAATTCCCGGCAATTCCACTCCCCCGCGGGGCTCTATCCGTGCTAACGAACAAACACAAAGTTAAAACTCATCCCGCTAATTAACGCC